AAACGCCACGTCTCTTAACTGACTGTAACGAAAGGATTGAAGTGTATAACTATACCGAGGCAGGCTTGCTTGAAATGATGATGATTTAGTACATGATTTAGTACACACTGTTATTAGTAACAAATTTGTTCATTAAGTAAGATCAAGTTTTCTCAGTAAATTCTTTAAATATTTGATCATAAGTCCACACATCGGTAAGGAAAAGAAGGTATGTTATATGCCAGCTCGGTTGATTTCTAGACTTTGTCAGCCATTTTTGGTAAAGCTTTAGTCCCTATTACAAGTAGACAATTCACCAAGTTGGTCGAGTTGAGTTTGTTCATGCCTTAAATACTCGAATTTCGTGCAAGCGGTGAGTGGAGAGTGAAAAGTCTGGTGCATGGTACAAAGAAGTACTCTAGATCATATGAATTATAGGCATTAAATTATATTGAATTATATTTAGTGGCTTCTGGGTTATACTTTTTGATTCCAAAGTTTTAGGTCAAGAGCAAGTCAGCCCTTGTTTTTACATTAAATTACAGGCTTTATTTACTAAACTTAAAATGATTCGATTTATGTTAAGCATGAAGCGTTTCGCTCAATATTTTTGGCCATCCTGCCTCTCTCAAAGAAACTCTTGCCCCTATTGACAAAAAATTGGAGCATTCGAACTTAACTGGCTTCTCTTGAGGTCAACTCTTCGCCCACCAAATCATTCGCCACCAACAGGCACATATGCTAATCACTGGTGGCGACGTCTATACTATACTATAAGATGGATGCATAAGGACCTCTCAACCAAGCTCTCGGAACTTCTGTTGAGTCAGTATGGCTTCATGATATTCGGCGTTTTGCCGATGAGCCACAAATCCCCTTCTCTTGGCCAAAGCCAGACGCTTCTGAACGATTGCTTGCCTAAAACGATGCAACTGCTAACCCGAATTAAGAGTCTGACTGTAGTTGTTCAGCTAATAGTGGCTGATTCCTTGCCAATCCCACCAAACACATAAAAAAAACCTTACTGGATGCCACTCATGGCTTGGAGACCGTTTGTGCCGGCTCACTGCCCTTCGACCACGACCGTTTATCGTTTGACGTGGCTGTAAGTGATCCACTTTTTACAGCGAGTCACAATTCGCCTTAGAAATGGGTTGAGTTTATTACCATTCCGCAGCGATTCGCAGATGGAAACTTGGTCTATGAGGGGTTTTCTTGTAATCACCCATACAGCGTGCTTCTTGTTGTATCCAGCCTTTTTTAAGTGGTTCCAAACTGTTCTTTCAGCAACATTCAGTTCTTGTACAACCGAGACAGTGCTCGCATGATGGTCAGATTCGATCATCGGGTATAAACATTATTCATATATCTAATCCGATTATTTTATGCCATAACTTGTAACCGTTAGCTGAACAAACCTGATATACTCTGTGTGCATACGTACATACTTGCATACATACATACATACATAGATAGTACAGCTGAGTATGCAAACAGTTCACAGTGGCATAACACATAAGAACATATGTAGAAAATGTTTCTCAAATCCATTTGTATGTATGATAAGTATTTTATTATGCTAAAAGTTTTGCGATTCGCTGAAATAAATGCTTATTGATATATACACACTCACACAATCATACGTGTATGTATGTCAATAATCAATTTCCAGCCAGAAAGTATTGTAATAAAGATACAAAATTATTTAGTACATGAATTGCTACTGATAATCGCTTATCGAGGCGATAGTGTATGTTACGTCTACTTACATACAAGATAGCTAAACACACACATATGTACATACTCTATAAATGGCTATGTTATATGTACATAACCTATATATATATAAATGTTGAAATATAAATATACTTCAACGAATATGTGCTTCTCTCTCGTCATCGAACATTCCATAATTGATGAAACGAGTATCCGCCATATGTAGATACATATGTATGTACGCATGTATATGACATATTTATAAATTTATTATACTCATCTATTGCCTATTTGTCATAACGATACTCAATATTCAATATGTTTAATTGATTCAATAATAATTTACCTTGTCAAATAATCAAAGCAATAAAAAAAATATTTCAGTGCATCAACAATAAACCGCGTATGGATTAAGAAAGCACTCGTATCGCATCGTATATTATACCCCGTTGGATACTACATCAATTCCATTGGTTGACATTGTATTCTCATTTGTCTGTTCTGATTGATTTAGTTGCATTATCGTTTTTTTTATACCAGTTAAATTAGCTGTTGATTACAATAGTCGCAGCAAAATAAGCAGAAAATATTAGAAATGATGCTTACACATGAGAAGATGTACATATATGTATCTTAAAAACACTTTTTCGTATTATAATTGTACTAGGAAATCAGGTCTATTTTTCAATCCAACTATGTTAAATCCATATAATCCCTTAAACTCTCGCTTGTACACCTAATTCTGATATAGAAGCACTAAGGGTCGACGTCATGTCACTCAGATGTTGGCGTAAGATTTATAAAACCCAGACCTTCAAGCTGGCTCTTGACGCAAATTTGACTTTAAAACAGTCGCCAGTTATAATTTTCCCCTAGTGCTAACATAAACAAGTAATATAAGTTTGTTGGGAATTACAACGATGTTGAGCAAACACTTTTTACCTGTTTAGCATCCCCCTAAAATTATGCTACGTTTTTAAATAAAAAAAAAGCAAAACAAAAACATTTGTGGCAATATCTTTACAATACTTTTATTTAACAATTAAAAGAAAAGGTTAAGAAAAGGTTAAGAAAAGGACCAGTTTAGTAATGACTTCATCTCAGCATCACCAAGCTTTTAACCGCGAAGTCATTATCTGAAATTTTGTGTTTCGTCTTGTCAGATGGTTACGAACGGCTGATGTATTTTTTATAAATAGTATTTTATTTTACAATGAAAATCGGAAAGGTTGACATTCCCTGCCGTAGGACGGAAATTCATTTATATTCTTTAAATTAAACTTTTGATATTGGTCCAGGCCAGAGTTCGAAACTGAACGATCCGCGTTGTAGAATTAAAAAATAAGTTTTATTTATTTTTATTAATTTTTTTTACATCTAAATATTTTAATTCCTTTTTTTTAGTAATTATTTTTATTATTTTTATTTTTATTATTTTTATTATTTTTATTTTTATTATTTTTATTATTTTTATTTTTATTGTTTTTATTTTTATTATTTTTATTTTTATTGTTTTTATTTTTATTATTTTATAAATTACCGCGCTCGCGGTAGCTGAGTGCTTATCATTACATACTGATATTCGGAAGGCTCGGGTTCATATCCTGGTGCCACTAACACTCAAAAGTTGTAGAAAATTAATTAAATAAAAAAGTAAATTAAATTTTCTAATTGAGTTCGCACCTCGGCAGGGAATGTCGACCCCACCGAGTGTATTTCGGACATGAAATCAAAGCTTCTCGTAAAAAAACTATCAGCCGTTCGGAGGCGGCTTAGTATATTAGCTGTAGGTCCCTCGATTTGTTGGAATAAACACCAAGATACAAAACCACAAATCGATAGAGGAGCTCGGACGAAAGTCGCTTGCAAAACAGAAAAACAATTTATTTTTTTTGTCATCAATATACTGTTAAATCAAACAATACATAAAGCCCTTTTCTCAAATTTCGAATGCTAATTGATTTGCTATTTTTAATATTTTTAATACAAATAGTTTAGTGCGCGCTCCCAGTTGAAATTTGTAATAACATTTTTGCTTCATCTAACACAAAAGGCGTTGAGTCAATAAACATGGCACACAAGTGCTAGGTATTTTCCATAAATACAATTGAATATATATAATATGATCTGGCACTTGGAAGTACGCACGTTTTGCCCTAACACGGACAAGAGAAGAAGTGACAGAAGTCGTGGCGTCTTGTGACTGATGATTTAAAGGTTGAAATTAAAATTGCACGAAGGTGTCAAAAAAAAAAAGAAAAAAAAATTAAAAAATTAGAATATCGTAAATATGCAGTTATCATGCTATCCTCTTCACTTTCCGCGCACACTTCACACTTTGTTACACACCGTTTGTCTATTTAACGCCACAGCATAGTCGCCCCTTCACTGAGCTGAGTTGTGGCGCTGACTTTTTTTCACGCCGTTAGAATTGCCGTTGGTATGCTAAAACCCAGATCATTTAACACTTTTAACTGCTGCTCGGTTTCCAACGTCAATTGAGTTTCACTACTGTCGAGCGAGTGCACTCATCTGTTGAGCATGGTCGGGGTGGGGAGGTGGGTGCGGAGGGAGCAAGCTTCTGTATGTGAAGCGCACTTAGTTACTAATGATCGGAGCCGCGAAAACAACAACATCATCATCATCATCATCACCATCATCATCATCATCATCATCATCACCATCATCATCATCATCATCATCATCATCATCATCACCATCATCATCATCATCATCATCATCATCATCATCATCATCATCATCATCATCATCATCATCATCAACAACAACAAAAACAAAAACAAAAACATAAACAACAAAAACATAAACAACAAATACATAAACAACAAAAACATAAACAACAAAAACAACAATAACAAAAACAACAATAACAAAAACAACAATAACCGAAATAAAAAAATAATAACAACAAAACAAAAACAAAAAACAACAAAACAAAATCAACAACAATAATATCAACAAATGACCGATTGAAGAATTTTTTTTTTCGTTTTGGGGCGCTTGTATTGGAGGTCAACATCAATATAATGGAATTCTGACTGTACATTAAAAAGCATTTGAGGGCCAATAATAAATAAAGTGGGGGAAAACTATGTCATGAGACATATTTTCGTCGCAGATGCTTCATTGACGTGGCACATCGCCGGCGACGAGAATTTTTATGAAATTGTGTGCATCAATTGGTTTACGTTTTTTTTTTTAATTATATTATACTTCAATACACTTTAATTTTAGTATTGCACTCTTTATTTATAAATATTTTTTCCTCTATTTCTGTTTTCCAGAGAGCGAGAATGTTCATGTGGAGCATAATATCGTGGAAGAGGTATCCGATGTGCATACTGTTGGCTCGGTGACGAGCTTAAATGAGCTACATGCCCATCAGAGTACGGAAAATATTGTGGCAGAGGAGTATCAGCAGCCACAACTACTGCCACTAGCGCAGCTGCCGGCGCAGGCGCTTCCACAGCAGCATCAGCCAGTGCATGCGCAACCGAAACATTCGCAGCAGCAGCAGCAGCAGCAGCAACAACAACAACAAGTCCCGCACCATCAGCTACAGCAGCAACATCACCAACATGCTGTTGACATGCCAGTGGCCGTGGATGTGTACCACAACAACAATAACCAAAATGATATTGTGCCAATTGAGGAGCCACAAATTGAAGTGCCTGTGGTGGCGCAAGCATCCGTACCAACACCAGCTCCAGCACCTGCACCTGCACCAGCACCAGCACCAGCTCCAGTTGCCGTTCAAGCGCCGCCATTAGCTCAGCAGCAGCAACAGCAGCAGCAGCAGACACCAACAGTGGCCACTGTTGTAGTCGCACAGCCAGTACCGGCACCAGCACCAACGGTGGCAAATGTTTCCACAGCTACCAACAATGTGTCCACGCAACAACAACAAATACAAACTTCGCCGCCATTGCAGAAGTATCATCACCAACAACAGCAGCAACATCCAAAACATCAACAGCAATCGTACAATCGCTACGATCAACAGTCCCAACAGCAACATCAACAGCATCATAATCAGCAATATCATCATCAACAAAATCATAATTACCAATATGAGCAGCGTAGGCCACAACAGAATTACAATAACAATCAGTCGCGCCGCAAATATGATTATAATAATCAATCGTATGTACCCAACAATAACAACAGCAACAACAACAACAATAGCAACACAAACAATGATTCTGCCATTCAAACCACGAAGACCATGTCTTGGACCAATTCGAGCAAGAAGTCAACGGCGTCGGTATCTGTGACCGCCACGCCAAGTAGCAACAATAATAATAACAACAGCAATAACAATCAAAATCGATCATATGGTCATACGACAAAGACTTACACCAATCATCAGCATCACTATCAGCAACAATCGCACTACCATCAGCAACAACATCAATCACAACAACAACAGAACCAACAGCAGCAACAACAACAGAACCAACAGCAGCAACAACAGCATGGCGGTCACCACTACAATCAAGCGCCGCAAATGCGTAACTATAGCGGCATGAAAATGCCCTCATCACCGGTTGGCAGCAACAATGCGCCACCACAGTTCGGCAATACGAACGCTGGTGAACGCAGGAATAGCCAACAAGAGCAGACGAGATATGCCAATAACGCAAACAGCAGTGGCTCATACAACAGCAACAGCAACTACAATCAGTATGGCAATAACAGCGGTAATAACAGCTCGGCCGCAAACAGCAACAATAGCTCTGCGAATAGCTCAAATATGCATGCAGCTACCTCAACGGCGAGCATTACAGCTGTGCCGCAGCATTTTCCACAGCAGCAACACAATCAACAGCACGGTCATGCTCAGGGAGCACAACAACAACAACAGCAGCAACAATCGGCTGGACAAAGCACGCAACAGGCGCCACAGCAACAAGCTTTAGTTATTGATAGCAAGCAATATCCCGGTTTTACAAGCAGCAAGAAAGCTGCTGCTGCTGCCGCCGCCGCTGCAGCTGTCGCAACGGCTACTGCGAACTCCACCGCAGCCCCACCTGCGCCGATAATGAATTTAGCGCCACCGATTACGGCGAACACCAACACTACAGCTCCCAGTACACTATCGTGGGCTAGCCTATTCAACGACACCAACAATGCCAATGCCCCAGCATCAGGCACCAGTGCTGGTGCACAGTCAGCTGCGGCTGGAAGCAATGCCGGCGGCAATACAAATGCCAGTAATCAAAATGCTAACGTTTCACCGGCGTTACCGCCACCATTTTCATCGAAGAAACCCGTTGCCAAAGTAGCACCCTATGAGTGTGTTGTGCCTGCGCCTGCCAATCCTACGACACCAGTCGTATTACCAGGTGCTATGTCCTATTCAGCGGCATCGGCACAGGGTATATTGCCAACACAAGCAACAACGAAGACACCCGTGGTCAAGGTTGAGCCTGTCGCACCTATTGTGCGCGCCAACTTGGATGAGTACACCTTGAAATTTGCTGATTTCCTCACCAAGGCGAAAACCGATTTGTCCACAGTTAGCTTGCGTCCTCGTGGTCTAACCAATCCATCTAACTACTGCTATATTAATTCGATTTTACAAGCTTTACTCGGCTGCGCACCATTCTATAATCTCATACGCTCCATACCTAAGCAGGCGGTGGCGCTATCGGAGGTGCGCACCCCCACTGTCAATGCGCTGTAAGTGACGTGTACATATTAACATTTTGTTTACCTTTTAGTCATTGATTCTCTTGTAAGTAAGTAATGCCATAAACAGTCAGCGGTTGAATTCTATTCTTGATTGAATGCGATCGCGTTACATTTATGGTAGATTAATTATAGACGATTTGCTAGATGTGATGGTGTGCAAGACCGTTTTGGTGGCGCGCTTCTATTGCATGCATTTCGTTGCCGTCTTTGAATCGCTGAGTGAAAGCGCGCTTCTATGGTCGTTAGCACAAGGAACATAGACAAACAAAAATACGTATTCTTTATTTAATTAAATTTTTTTTAATTTTTGTTTATTTAATTTTATTTCGGTTTTATTTCGATTGGTTTTTATTTTAAGTTTATTTGTGTTATGTTAATCTAATTTATTTATTTTCTCTTTTATTTCATTTAATGGAATTTTTTTTATTTGTTTTATATAATTTCTTATTTTAAATAATTTAATTTTTTGTTTTATATTTTATTTTCATTTATCTTATTTAATTTTTGTTTTATTTTATTTCATTTATTTTTGATTTTATTTCATTTATTTTATTTCATTTATTTTTTATTTTATTTCATTTTTTTAATTTTTTTATTTGATTCCATCTCATTTTATTCTTTTCAATTATGTTTCTTACATTATTTATTTTCCTTTTGTTTGCTTTACTCTATTTTATTATATTTAATTTAAATTAATTATTTTGATGTATTTTATTTTATTATTTTTTATGGTTTTTTTTATTTTGATTTCTTTTATATTATTTTATTGGATGTGTTTATTTTAATTTTTATAATTGTATTATTTCTGTTCTTTATTTTTCTTTTATTTGATTTTGCTCTATTTTTTATTTAATTTTTTATATTATTATTTATTATTTTATATTATTATAATATATTATTTATTTTAAATTTATTTACTTCTATATATTATGATATTAATTTATGTTATTTTACTCTATTTCTATTGCTAGTCTTTTTTATTATTTTTACTCATATTTATTTTTTATGTTTTATATTATTTCGAATTTTATTTTGCTGTTTACTTTTCAGTTGATTTGAATTGCACTCAAATTGTTTAGAATATTTTATATAACTGCTTCTTATCGAATTTTGTCTCCACAGCATTTCCTTTGTATCGCAATTTTCCACACTTCCATCTGGTATGCGTTTGCGAACGAATAAGGGTCCAAAAGGCAAAGATGAATTGGGCAGCGAGCTACAGTGCGATTCTGCTTTTGAACCCACTGAGATTTATCGCTTGTGGGTTGATAGCCGTGAGGAGTATGTTGAAGGACGTCAAGAGGATGCTGAGGAGTTCCTAAGCTATGTGCTCAACAAATTGAATGATGAAATGCTGGAGGTGAGTTGAGAGAATAAGCTTTTATCTTTAGTGAATTTAATGAAATGTTTCTATTCTCATTTTTTTTAGGTTATAAAATTACTTGCTAAACCAAACGCTGAACAAAATGGGCGAAATGAAGTGTCCGAAAATGAGGACGGTGACGAATGGCAGGTATGTAATGTGTTAGTTCAACGATAGTCGTATCAAAGATGGGCTGGATTTTGTACTTTGGTTCACCAGCCTATAACAGGAAAGAAAGTGTTTATTATTGTTTTTTTTTTCGTCTGTGTTCCCTTTAACATTATTAATAATTTAATTTTCTTTAGATGATTTGCAATAACCGTAATAAGGGCAGCGTCACTCGTCAAACTGATTTCGGTCGTACCCCACTGAGCGATATATTTCGCGGCGAATTGCGTTCACGTCTACAACGTGAGGGCGAACATTCCACTGATGATATCCAGCCATTCTTTACATTGCAATTGAATATCGAGGTGAGCAGCAATTTTGTTTAGCATATTTTGTTTAGAAAATTTGTGATCTTAATTAAAAAAAAAAAAAAAAAAAACCCATTTCATAACTTTCCAATTATACTGTTATCCGTCAATTTTTTTACAGAAAGCCGCATCAGTAAAGGAAGCACTCGAAATTCTTGTGGGTCGTGATCAGTTGGAGGGTGTAACTGGCAGTAAAACCAAGCAGGAGGTAGTAGCTTGGCAACAAATGACCCTGGAAAAGCTGCCAACTATTTTGATACTACACTTGAAATGGTTCGATTACCGTTCCGATGGCTGCACAAAGATTTTGAAGAAAGTTGAATTTCCAGTTGATCTGAAAATCGACGCAAGTAAGTGTTTTTGAAAATAACTCAAAACTGTTTTTATTTCCCCAATCGCCTGATTTATACCTAATCTTATACTACCTCCCCACCTCACAGAAATACTCGCCTCTAAGAAATATTCAATGAAACAACGCGCTTACCGTCTATTCGCTGTTGTTTATCACGATGGCAAAGAGGCGACTAAAGGTCATTATATAACCGATGTATATCACACAGGCTACAGCAGCTGGCTGCGTTTTAATGATAGCTCGGTGAAACCAGTCAGTGAGAACGAAGTTCTCTATCCAAAAACACCGCGCGTGCCTTATTTACTATATTATAGACGTTGCGATACAATGCCACAACAGAATACAACAACATCATCAACTGTTGGCAATGCCAATTCGTATTCAAATTCAGCTGGCACTCATCGGGATGGCAACAAGTAAAACTGTATGTGTATATGTGTGAGTGGAGTGCAAGTTTTGTGCAAAGTATAAGTTGTGTTGAACACAATTTTGGATACAAATATACATACATATACCAAAAAGATGAAATGAATGGCTTGGCCGAAATCGTCTCATAAAGTTGCTCCTATAAGAGCGCACCTGAAGCGGTAACACAATGAGCGTAAACAACAGAAACATCAGTGGCGGCAGCAACAACAATGATCAATCAAATGTTGGCTATTAAATAGCGTAATGCAAATAACTATAATGTAAATATGTAATAGCGCATTAAGGTAATTGGCTTACTGTGGAAGGGAAACAGGTAAAGCATAAAGCTAGTGCATTGTAAGCTGAAAAGCCGAGCAAATAAATAGCCTCAATAGTTTAAAGTCCATTTTTATGCTAAATGCAATGCATGTAAATAGGGCTGACACTCAAAAGAATTATAAAATATTATAAACGCACGTGCATATTTTGTAATTTTTTATTCTTATTTTATTTTTAAGTATTAATTTTACTTGTATTATATTAGAACGAACTTAACGAATGTTGCCTTTGATCAAAAATATAAAAAAAAATATATATATATATATATATTATAAATTGAATGAGGTTAGTATGAACAGAGCGTGCAGATGGTAAACGTGCTTCCTGTTTGCATACGATTTGGCAAAACTTTGATAAGTTCAGAGAAGACAAGCGTATTTAAAGCTGAACGCGCAAGAAAATTTCGTAGTTAGTAGGCAAAGTCTAAGTAAAGTGACATTGTGAGTTTGAAAATTTGAAAAAGAAATATTTATAGATATACTTTAACAAATATAATAACAAAAAGAGCGCATATAAATGTAAATAATGTAGGATCATGTACAAATTACAAACATAAAATATATTAGTTAAATATCTATGCAGAAGCATGTATAGGAAAACATTGTATATAACAAAAAAAAACTAATCAAATAGTTTTGCAAATCTAATTCCTGGCATAACAAAATATGCAATCAAGCAAAATAATAAAATAAATTACTAAAAAATAAAATTAAAATAATAAAATAACAACGAAATATGTATTTATGCAAATTAATGGCTGAAAAGAATATAATAATATTTACATATTGTATATGGAAAACTTGCTTGCTGTGTAAATAGAACTGCTTGTATATCAATGACAAATGAAACGAAATTCCGCAATAAAATGCCACAGCTCTTTAGAAGGCAATTAAAGAAAAAATAAATTGATTGTTGGGCAAATGTAAGTAAATATATGAGTAAATGGCATGTGTGCAACAATGAAGATCAATTTAGATTAGTCTGTATATATGTGTAATAGTGCAAAATGTTTGCGATACAGGCATAAATGTGTGGAAGGTGAGGTATATATAAATTATTATTAAATAATCATTGCCTTTTTCTACTGAAAGCAAAGTAAACAAGAAATAGCATAAAAAGGAAACTATTATTAATATTCAAGCTAAGACATACACACATATGACATATACATATTTTCACTTTTTATTAAATATTTAAACATACCTCTTTTTTCACGAAGAAGAATTTATTTTTAAATATAATGGGTTGCAATATTGTGATGATATATGACACTCAAATGATTTACAAACATATATATGTATATGAGGAAATATTTTTGTTATTACTTTACTTTTTTAATTAAAAAAAAATTTTTTTTTTAATTTAATTTTTTTTATTTTTTTAATTAATTTTTTTTTTTTTTTTTTTTAATTAATTTTTTTTTATTTTATTTTTTTTATTTTTATTTTTTTATTTTTTTTTTATTTTTTTATTTTAATTTTTTTTTTAATTTTTTTTAACTTTTTTTTTAATTTTTTTTAACTTTTTTTTTAATTTTTTTTATTTTTTATTGAAAAAAAAAAAAACAAAGCATTACAGTGTATAGTTAACAGTTTTAACACATTTTGCTTATAAATTTTTACTATGAAAAAATGTTTAAATTAAAACGCGAATACGGTGAATAACTGTATGGAGTAACGCTGAATTATGTTTTGTTAATTCATTTACATTTTTTTTAATTTTTATCGTGCTATTTAAATAACATTAATTATTAGCAGTACGTGAAAAATTGCATAACATTTGTTTTATATGTAAGAAAACGTTATAAATTCGTTGTACAATATTGAATTGAATGCTATTTATAGTTTCCCCTTATGTGCATAATGCTAGTAAATAGGAAATATCAATTTATTTAATCTTTAATTAATACTAATATTTAAGTTAAAATACAAAAAAAAATGCTTTGAATATGCTTTAAAAATTATGTGCCCACACACAGTTGTTGCGGCGAAAATTTGTGACTTGTGCATGAATATCTGGTTTTAAGAAAAACTAAGCCTAACACATAGACTAAAATTCGTAGTTATGACTATATTTTTTATCTGCTAATTTTTGTTATTGCTCCATAATATTTCACTTTCTTCTACTTGTTAAGCTAGTAGAAGAACCGTAATTACACATTAGCATATGAGTTTTGATTAATTCTGTCTATCTAGTTTTGTTTTGACATCTTGGAGAACACAAAATCATCACACACATACGTGAAATGAAGTGTTGTTAATCAAGTGCTGTCTTGAAAGAAATAGCTCAAGACTTTGGCGAATTAATTACTTATGAAGCACTGTCGTTATGTATGCAGCTGTTGTAGTCGCTTGAAAAGAATTATGCTGAATAACTTCGAGAATGATATAATGATGAATTTGACATGGTGAAAAGAAAAATAACCCGCATAATTATAATGTATAATAATATATACATATATTTTCTTTTGAATGACTTTAATTTTGTAAATAATATAACTAGGGATATATAAAATGTATGCATAGAATATTAAACGTATAAATGTATACCATAATTAAACAATTTTTATGTTTTGCAACAAGAATGCATAATAATTACTCATATTTATGATTTTGTTTATTTGGCTCTATCATTGGCCTACATATTCGGTAAATGTTCAGTTCATTATCCATATTAAAATTAAGTTAAATATAAATTTATTTGCCCCCAATTTGTTGAGTGTAAATAAGAGAAATATAATAATTTCATTTTTTTTAACAATTTTAAGATGTTAAATGTGTTTTTTAACTGTTTAAAAAGTTCTATTCTTTGGAGAAAAACGGGTGTTATTTTTGATAGTTTTATTTAATATTATTAATATTTCTTATTTTTTTTAATTTTCTTCTTTTCTGACTTTGATTAAAAGCAGCTGCACAAAATTTTGAAGTTACACTTTTTTTCGAATTTAGTTATTTGAAATGTTAACTATATATAATTTTTTGGAGTGTTTAGTTTGCTTGAACATTTTTGTATTTGGAAATAAACATTTTTATTGATGATTGTATTACCAAATTTTTAAAGTTCATATATAGATACATGTTTGAAAGTATACTTGTTTTTGTTTTATTATGCAAAACAGCAGACATTGAATTTTTAATATTATTTATTAAATTAACAGGATAAAACATATAAAAACTAACGCTTCAAAAATATTTCAACTTCAAATATTACATTCAAAACTAGTTACAAATTCTATTCTTCTTCAAACTAAACAACTGAAAAATAAGATTTAATGACAGCTATTTACATCTAGTATATATGTAGTGCTATGTAAACTCTAAAAAATCGGTTGTTTAAAAAAATATTATAAATTATCAGAAACAATATTCAAAATACTGGATAGCCACATACATATAGTACATAAAAAAAATTCGTATTGAATTAATGAGTTGCTGCAATTTAAATTAGGGATATACACATATATACGTACATATATACTTTAAGCATAATTATAAAAGTGAATAAAGATATAAATATACATATATATATATAGCTAAATAATAAAAAAATATTGTAGTGACATTTTCATGCAAAAAAACAAAATAAATAAAAGAAAAGCAGTGAAACGAAACTGATTTTTTTTCATATAAATAACTGTTTGAAAATACACATATACAAATATCTTGCAATAAGAAACAATCGAAAAAAAATCGAGAAAAAATTGTGCCAACACAAGAAAATTAGTAAGAGTTTTCCAAATACAAATACAATAAATATGTATAACAAAATAAGTACACAAAATGTATGCTGAGCAATAATTGAAATAGTTAAGCAACAACAACAACCACAACAAATAAATTTTTAAAAAGAAATGTAATGAAAACTAAATGAATTGAACAACACCAATTTTTAAATGAGTAAAAGGAGCTGCACAAATCATATGCTACAATCACCTTTATTAGTTGCTTTATTTATTTGTTATTTGCAGGCAAAAGTAAGCATTTTGAGCCACTTAATATCAACGCTTTTCTGTTTGTTGTTCTAATATTGAAGATTGCACGAATTTTATTAGATATAGTTTTCGCAAAGTTTTCGTTTTTCAATAAAATGAATGTAATCTAATTACAAACATTGTGCGTACATACATACCTATTAAAGCTATATCATTCAAAATATTCAAATACACACATACATATATACAAATATAAGTTGACACTTATAAAAATAAAAAAAATTATACAGATAAGTAGTTGGGAATTATAAAAATTTCAAAGCGCATGCGCAATAGAGAACAAATATAACAAATTATTAATAATATATATAATAAGCGCATAACTAATAATAAGCATACTAGTAATCTAGTTAAATAGTTTATTTTTGTAAATGAAAAATTAAGGCAACAAAATAGCAGCGCTTAACCGCGAGCATCCGTCCATCACAACATAACGAACCCCTTGGTGGCTTATAAAAAAGTTTCCGTGCCGCCGCTCGGGTGCCTGCGGTTATAGTCTCGCTCTTAATTGTTCTAAAAATTAGGTTCCTAAATGTAAGCAGTGCTAACATATAAATAAATAAATTAGTACATACATATATGCTAAAAAAATACATAAATGTATTGTGTATAAATATTATTAAACCAATATATACTTACATACAAGCATATTACAATAATAAAAATTAAATTATAATTAAAATAAGTAGTTGAAATGAAAAATACATTACTTTGAATTATTTTTTATATACATAACATATATACATGTAAATTTTTGAGTAGTTGCAAAAGCATATTATTGAACAAAAATTTAAATATCTGAATATGAAGCTTTTTGTTTGTCTGGCAGTGAATATTGGAAATTAAAAAAAAATAAGTTTCGAATTACAAAAATTTTAGTTTCGCAATTATTTTTTTGCATGATTCAAATACCAATATTACTTAATCGTATATACAGAATTACATACATATATATATATATAATATATATGTGAAATAACAAATCATTTTTATTATTAAATTGTTTAATCGTTTAATAGTGCTTAAGGCTGTGTGCATAAAAGAATTTGCTGAATAATTTGTTCTTAACTTTTTTGTTTTTAATTTGGTTTTGTTTTTTTTCTTTTGAGGAGGTTATATTAGCTAGTGTTTTTTTAAATAAAATAAGTTTTCTTTTTGTTCAAAGAAGTACTTGTATAATGTACAAATGTACGCATGTTATTAATAAACAACCAGACATAAATTACATAAAAAAATAATTAAAATAAATTAGAGAAATAATTAATAAAATTAAAAAAAAAATTAATCAATTTAATACATTAAATAACATAAAAAAATTAAATAAAGAAAATAAAATAAAAAATATCGAGAAATAATAAACACCTCCCGCCCGACCGACCGAGGGGTTAATCGAAAAATCCAACAGTCCGATGCCCGAAAACCAGTGACAGTCCAGACTGCCCCGAACTCGAGACCGATCGCGGAAGGTCGCGGTAACATTTGCCTCTTAGACTAGACAGCTACAGAGTTGTTCATTAATAATGAAATAAAAAAATCATATGAAATCAAATGATAAAAAAAAAAAATAAAATAAAATAAAAAAAAATAAAATGAAATAAAAAAAAAATAAAATGAAATAAAAAAAAAATAA